ATTGATGCACTCTCTCAAACGACAATATGACCATAGAAGTACTAGTTCTTTCAGACTAACCAAACTTCTTATTTGAAGACCAGAGAAAATGCATCTTTTGCAACAAAAACATCATGAGTCCAGCCGAGACACCGCAGGGGGGAAGAAGAGGTGCTTGGGGATATCAAATGTACCTGTCCAACTCAGGAAATGAGCCATCTGATGAGGAGCTGTGCCCTGAAACCTTTTCGAATTCAATAATCCTCATACCGTCTGCATACACCAAGTATTTGTTCACTTGGATTGGCACCTATAGGATTATAAGACGGTATAAAATATCATTGATTTGGGAAACCATATTGAAAAGGAAAAATCAAGATGCAATATTCTATCTGACTCATGGTAATTGGTTCAATCTAGAAGGGCATGCTTTATAGCTGTCAAGGCCAAGTCCTTCAGGAAATGAAAAAGGCCACTCCATACATGTGAAATCATCATAAATGAACTTATGAAGATTGTAAAAATAGACATAGAGACCACAATGGGAAAACTTGTATCCAATTTCACTATTTACAAATTTCAGACTTTCTAACCACACCCATCTAAACAAAAAGTTGCTGTACTCATAATATTACATAACAAAAATCCCAAATGAACACCATACGATTGTATTTAATTACATAGAAAATGCAGGAGGAAACCCCTATCATACATATTTGAAATAATGAAACTACATCTGTAAATGTACAATAGTACACTTTTTTTTTTGTGATAAATCCTCAAAATGGTAAGCTCTGGTTCTAAAGCGAAGTTTTAACAGTTTTTAACAACTGTACTGATATTTTCCTGGAGAATCCTTATTCCAAAACACTATTATTTAATTTGTTTTAACATTTTTAATGGCCATAAAAACAGCACTTCAAACTCCAAATGCATAAAAAATGAAAGAAAAAGAAAAAACCAAGTATTGAAGACAAAAGTTTAAATAATTTGCCTTCTCTTTACGAGCTTAAGCTTTTCAACAAGGTTCAACATATTCTCAGAGGCAATAAAGATCCGGATTCAAGGCTCGCAGCCATCCAATATGAAAATTGTGCACTTGACAGGCCTTTAATAAAAAAGGAATCTGGCCTATAAGTGAGGCAAATGTTGAAGACAGATTCAAGTAAAGAAATTCGACTCCTCTCTAATAGTACAAGTTAGTTTAAGTTTTGGACAAGGTAGTTCGATGAGAAATGCCTAACAGTTACTCACAGAGAATTACCTTGCATCTCACTGCAATGTCAATTGCATCAGAGGGCCGCAGATCAAATCTGACACACTCTGCTTCATTGTACAACTTCAACCAAGATGAACACAACGTCAAAAAATTTAAGATGTCACAAGTTAGAAATTTTTACATGTGATTCAAACCTGGAACCAATAAAATTTAGTTTACCTTTGTAAGATGTAACTGGGCAAAAATATGCCTCGTGTATTCTCTTGGTGACTCGTACTAGTTTCACCTGAAAAAGAAGACAGCTAACAAATGAAAAAAATAAAAACAGTTGAATAATTCCTATCTCGTAAGCAAGCAAAGAAGAACTACATGACCATTGAAGAAATAAATGAACTCACTGTCTAGCCCATCTTCTCAATCATTTCCTTTGCAACTTGATACCTGGTAGGCCTAGCCTACAAAGCAATCCAGAAATTATCTTTTAAGAAATACACAGGTAATTTTGAGCGTGTTTGGCTAAGACTTAAAAGTATGACTATAATAAGTTTACTTATTAGAAAATAAGTAATGTTTTATGGAACATAATTTAAAATAAGTAAATTATTTATTTTTACAATAAGGTAAGAGTTACTTTTTAAATAAGCAAGCTTTTTTACTTAAAAGTAAGAAAAGAAGTAAATTGTACCAAGACTTTTACAAAAAGTATGAAACATACAATTTGAACATTGCGTATAGCTTCCATTAGCAGCACACTTTGCATCTCCACTGTGAAAAACCAATTGAATCAAGAATGAAGCAATAATAAGAGGCAATATCAACTTGCACTCATTGAAGACTGCTGCCCACAGAAATTAATCATAATACTAAAGATGACATACAAGCAATTATGGGGAGAAGAAGCCCAGTCCCATCTCCCATCTTCAATATAATTGCAGGTGCGGAGCATAATCTGGCCGATGACTTCCCCAAGGGTTATTATGGGCACATCTCAAATGCCGGCCATCTGATCATGAAACTATCCAGGCCACTTTTGACCTCATCTATCCAAAACATTAACACAGAACTAAATATCAGTTGGAATTTTCTCCGCATACAGCTTTATGTGTAGAAACATGAGGATTATTGTCTAGTACTAATACAAAAGCAGTGAGTTGCGATATTCTCCAATAAGATTAACACGCATTATATAATAGACATACAATTTCCTAAAAGCAGTGCCATGAGCAACAGAAATTATGTAGCAGGAGTAAGGAATTCATAACAATTTACTAAAGCTGTATCGTGCAAATAAAGCACGTCGTCGTAGAAACTCCACAAAACACAAGCAATTTCGAAGTCTTCTTAAGAGGAACCAACTTTAGAGATTAAATTAAAATATCAAATTTAAACAAATGAATGTATCTCTTCTCTAACAACTTAAACTTTGGTTCAGCATAGTTGAAGTCTTACCGGTACCCATTTTTGAAAATTGTGCATATGTCCAGCCTCTCATCAAAAAGAAATTTGACTTGTATGTGACTAAAGTTAAATAAATATGTCTCCCTTTTAACACATTATGTTTCTGTCCAAAACCATTAAAGATAGCTTGCACTCTTTTTTACAAGAACTCGACAAAATTGAACTTGTTTCTTACTGATGCCAATAAAATAGGAAAATTATGCTTCACCAATTTTTATAAAATCTAAATGTTGATTAAAATATTTGACAGTGAAAGATTGTTAGTGCCACCCCCACCATCCTGCATTTCTTGGCAAGATAAATTGCAAAAATGATAGGTTTTTCTAATTATCACTTACACAGTAGTATGCACTGACAAACATTGAACTAGGAGAAACAAGTGTTTAAGAAATCAACTTACCAGCTTCAACCACGCTCGAATTTACATAATCAGACTCATTCTCATTTGAATTCTCGGCCATGCTACCATTTCCATTCGACGATGAACTAAAAGTACATCGAATACTAGTGGATTTCTGCTAACTCTCTGGATAATTTACATTAGTCCTACCATTGCCAATTCCTATGAGCCCCCAGAACCCAGTTCTAATAACTTTGGCTTACGCTAGAGGCGAACTAATTGGCACAGAATACACTCCAGTTTGTTTTGCACGGATCACGGGACAAACTACTGGCCATTGTAGAAAAGCCATCTTCAATCCTCTAAATCGATCAGAAGATTAACAAATTATGATAAGAAAACTAATTGCTCACATTAAGCTAACCACTAAGAATAAAATATTCAGAACATATAATTTTGGCAAAGAATTTTCACAAAATTCCATTTAAAAAAATTTGAAAAAACCCCAACTTTAAATTTTGAAGTTCTTCTCTCTTTCCCCATGAAGAAATCTTTTATTAATTGTAAACTGTAAGTTCTCCAATACAAGTACATATACTTAAATAAATCAATAATAATCCTCTTCAATATACGGATTCTCATACAAATAAAGTCACAATCTTTAGATTTAATCTTCTTTGCTAATTAAACAATAA